TTTAGTCTCCTATGGCAGCCCTGTAAATGATGTAGAACAGCCAGTCCAATGATCGTGTTTTTTGGCTATAGCTACATCAAATAGTTTACGGGCAAAATGGATTTCATCACATATACTCCATAGCATAAGACATAAATATGCAATTAAAAAAATATACGATTTTTTAAATTTCTATACCAGAAAACCTTCTTAAAAAAAAGGACAGAAACGGAGCTTTATAAGGAAGAGGAAAGATACAGACTTTATAAGGAAGACAGGAGCATTTGAAAGCTCTGTTATTATTAAAAAGTATTATTAAGCTAAATAAAAATGCACAAATTTAGTATATTTTATCTACATGATTCTAAGTCTAAGCAGCAACTAAAATATTAAGGCATATCAACAATTTTCCAAAGAGCACAAGATGAGTGTTCTTTGGCTCTTTAAAACCTTAGGGTGATAAAAAGCTTAAGTTTCCCTAGATTGTGTGAGTAAATTTGATAAAGATAAATAATAACAAAATACTTACTAAGAAACTCTAGATAAATTCAGTGCTTAAGATGGCTTGACAATAAACAATAGAGACCAAGACCACAACAAAAAGGTAATGATATCAACCTTAAAAACAAGACATCTCTTATAAATTTGCTATCTTATTATTTTAATTACTCTAAATTATACAATTAAATTAAAAAAACGAATTCACATAAACTTACATAACAAGTCTCTAAAAACCACAGCACATAAATATGAGAACAAGGAATCATCCTGTGGTGACCCATGGATAGAATCTGCATTCAGACTAAATCTAAGGTATGAAGTGCCTTTATGATCAGATTAAACCAAGAAAACTTATTTAGATTTCGATTTAAATCAAAGCGTTTAGTTAATTATTTACATTTTGTGCATAGACAAATTAATTTTAATATAAAACTGCAGACAAATTTTAAGAAATGTTTCTTTATTTTCTTTTTTTAACATCCATACAAAACAATATAAAATTACAATTTGAAATCATGCACTGAATATTAAGATTAAAAACTACACATAAAGTCTTTTAAAATTAATAAATAAAAGCTGTAAATAAAATAAAAGCCTGTCATTTAAGAAACAAAGTGATAAAGTACAGTGATAATTAAAAACAAAAGAATATTCTTTTTTTTTTAAAGTTTTAAAAATTAAATCTAGGATTCAGTCATCCTTAAAGAATTATCCACAATACTTTGCTTTTAAATATTTATCTCTATATGATTAGTCAAAGCTATACTACAATATATACATTGTGCTAGATGGAAAATTCCACTCTAACATGATTGCCATGGTTTTACACACAGTAATATTGTTAAAATAACTAAATCAATTTATTAGAATAACACAAATACATTTAAAAAAAAAAATTTATTTGTATTTTTTATTGCACCTTTTCAAAACAACAAAGAAATGACAAAATCCTTATTTTTTTTCAATTTATAATTTTCTACATAAGCCTATTTTACATGATAATCATATTCAGAGTCATATCAATTAGCCCAGTAAAAATATGAATCAGCTTGAAAAAAGTTAGTGGGAAGCTGGAAATTGTTTTAATCATTTTATTTCATATTTAATTGAAAGGTTTCAAAGCTTGTCCTTTTCCACCTAATGAGCTTCAGCCCTCTAAAATTGCTCATTTGACAAAAAGTTGTAGGGGGGGGGGAATGGAGATCACAAAATTCGGTATTAATTTAGTACTTAAATGTTGGATTTTTGTTAAAAAATAATTGAGCTATGATAATACTTTTGTACCCAATGGGAGATGCATGTCTTAAAGACGTTACAAGTAGACTATTGAGCTAAATAGATCACATTTTTACATTAGATTTGCATGTTAGTTTTTTGAGCTTCCCTCCTTTTTCTGGATGGTTGGTAGCACTTATAATACTGTCATGGCAACATAGCTTTGAAAAAATGACATGTTTGTGAAGAATTGTTTTGAATCATAATTAGCAAAATTTTGAATAGCGAGATATTTTATTATGATCTGTTATTGAAGGGACAGCATATGCTCCACTCAAAAAGACTAATGCGACATCAATATCTGAGGGCCTAACTGCCAGAATTGAGTCTAGAGTTAAATTAAAAAAATTACTTGCAATATTATCAATGGTAAAAAATCAAAATGCCAAAAAAGGCTTAATCTATAAAAAAAATCAGTCTTAAAAGGGTTAAGCAGAAGGAAAAAAATTTCGACATTTTTAAAAAAAAAAACTAGTAATTTTTGTGTAAACCATTAACATAAATACTTAGCCTTAATGACCAAGAACTTTAAGTGGGGCTTTTGACATTAAATAAAATCAATGTGGTTGCAATACGATTGCATTTCACTAGAATATTTTCTTTTCTATTTTTAATTGAAATATAAGAATAAACTAATGGTATTTATATTTATAAATAATACATTATGTCATAGAATACAATTACCAAATTAAGAATATTATTTAATACATGTAATAAATCTTAATACACACTTATGCTTTAAGGCATTGGGTTCTGGGAATGCACACTTCCATTTTTAGTTCATCTTTGTCTCCAAAAATCTCTCCTGTGTATGGTATTGCTACAAGATATACCTTTGCAGTGATGGCAGATAGTTGAACATTTAAACACTTATTTTCTTACATAATTGCAATTTCCTTCACACCCCTTTTCTCACTTACAAAATACTGTGTTCACAAGCACTGGTGATGTAGCTTCTACAGTGTCTGGATACCTTCCAGCCCCAATCAATGAGATTCATTGTTCCTCCATTCTATGGTTATTTGGAGGAAAACCCTTAATACATATTGCTTAGTTACATTTTCGGTAGGTGGGTGCAAAGCAAGATTGAAATAAGTCTTCATTAGAGATTTAGAAAACATATAGTGCATTTTGTGCAACAGGAATACCCCATCATACTGAGCATTGCATAATGTGGCAAGAAATTTCTGCCGAGCAGCATTTACTTAATCTGGAGCGATATGTTGGTTGCTGAACATATTTGCTATAAACTGTATGCAACAGCGCTTTTTAGGAGCTTCACGTATTTCCTTTTTCGGGCCTGAAGCTAGTCAAAGCAGATTACAGTGTAAAAGTATTGGTTACTCAAAGGTAAATAAAAAAAAATTATTAAAGCATATTTTTCTTGGTTACAAAAAGTATATATTGGATGAGTTAAGAGCAAATGAAGTTAACAACACATGAGAGTTGATGTCTTTCTCAACTACTATGACATAGCCTGATGGCTGAGAAACATGGATTGCTTCAATTGTATACAGGCTGGCACTAAATTTCCATGTTTTTCTATCCAGCCAAAAATATTTTCTACCTGTTGCTATTAACATTACAGCCAAAAGAAAATTTTCACTAAATCAGGAAAAGTGAAATCCCTTTAGTTTAAATTTTGTTTGCAATGTCTATTTTGGAGAGATATTTATTGAAAGTTAAGTTATTCAATATTAAAAAAAATGTGCATGTTTTAAGAAACAGTTGCTAAGAGCAATTTTTTTCAACTTTACATAACTCGATTTCTTAGGTACTCAATCGATGCAGAATTTTGTGATCTATATTTATAGGATTACGATTTCATTATAATATCAAAGATTTCTTTGTTACATTCAAAAAATATTTAAAAGTTTGAAGTTTTTGAGGAGCCACGGTCAAAGCTCACTTGGTCTGAATCCCTTCATTTTGATGGAATCATAAGGATTTCCAGCTTACAACATATTTTTTTCCAAGTGCAGCCTTTTATGAGCTATTTTTACCAGGTTAAAATACTAATAATATGAAACATTAAAAGATTATGCCAAAACACTAATAATGTATTACATTTATTTCTTGTGTTAAGAGATAAATTTCCAAAAAACAAATAAATACTTATAAAATAAAATAAAAAAATTTTACTTAAGAAAACATTTTTAAAAATGCTATTGAAAATTCACGTGATCTTATTTTCCATTTCAAAATTATATAATTTGCAAAATGAAAATAAAAGTACATAAACGTGTAACAAAATGAAAAAATTCCTAAAAATTATTGTACGTTTAATTAAAATTGAAGTAATTTTTGGGTTTTATACTCATTTTTTTCATAAAAGTTATAACAAATTATTAACAAATTTAACACAGAAATGTTTACTTTATTTAGATTGATAAGCTAACACTCGACTATATGTCGACTCTGAATACGCTAGAAGAAGAAAAATTAAACATTTAAAATATTTCAGCCTTTAATTTAATTGGTAGAATAGTAACTTATTACCTAGCGCTTCAAAAACTTCTTGTAGACTTATAATAAGAAATATATTAAATGCACTAAGGAAATGAACATGACTCTGGATACAATCAAATACAAAACATAGAGCTATAAAAATAGAGTTAAGGAAAAAACGTTTCCTCATTTAATATTAGTTGAATATAGATATATATATATATTTGTACAACTTTATCTTTAAACAGCTCATGAAACTATACTATCAATTCTTTTATCACAAACTCATGTATCAGTGTACAGTTAAAAATTGAATTAATAGTAAGAATTATTTCTTTATTTTAAAAAAAACAAACAATAAAGGCAAATGGTATATATTCCTGGTGCAGTAACAACACAAAATAATGTAATAAAAAGAAAGTTACTCATTTTTCTTAGAGCAGGAAACCTATATATTTACCGGAAGAGGGATCACAATATTGACAAATACAGGTAAGTTTTGCACAGTGAATAAATGCTAAAATAAAATTTGAGTTATGGATGCATTATCCAATAAAAACATGTCAGTTTTGAACAGAGAATAAATGCTAAAATAAAATTTGAGTTAGATGCTCTATCAGGTGAATGAAGAAGTGACTTGATGGGATTGGCTAAGAATGTTTTCAACTGCTTTAAAGATGTACTAGCATAAATAAAAATATTGAACTAGGCAATTGACGAATTCATAAAATTTTTAAAAGGTCAAATTATATTAAGGTACAGTATCAATGTTTAAATACGTCTTTTTTCAAAATTGATGGCACTGCAGTCTGTGCAGTCATGCCAAGACAATCAAAAGGTGACCAATCGCTAACAGCATAATTAAAAGATGCCACACAGAAAAAATGTGCTTCATAATGAAAAATAAAGGTCGGGAAAAGGGAGGTCCTGTAGATATGAAGCTAGAGCAGACAGCTTGAATGATTTTTTTAAATATTGGTCAAATTTCTTCTGAGACATCATAGATAAAAAAATATAATGGAAAGACTAAACAACTTTGTAATTCCAGATATAAACCAAAATGCAGGTAAAAGTCCAAATTATTATAAAAATTGAAAAAAAAAAACCTTTCATGAGTTAATAGATATATTAAATACGGGTTTTTTTGACAAATTTGTAAAAAATCTCCATATTAGTGCCCTTTGTCAGTACATTGGCCATTTGTGAAATGAATTGATTTGGCATCTTATCTTGTACTATGTCTGGTTAGTCAGACTGCAATACCATTTACTATAAAAATAATTAACCAAGCCTTCAGTGTTGATTCCTTTTTACATTTTTATCATTGTAAATTTATTTTTCAGTTTCTCTTGACATTTAATCACTTCACAGAAGCACTCATGTTAAAAATGAAAATAATTTTACAATGTTAATTATAGAGAAAAACTACATTTGCTGCAATAGTTTTAAAAGATAGTTTCAAAAATGTTAGAAAATTTTAAAAAATCAAAGTCTTAAGAAATAAGGCCATTTGAAACTAGTAGAATTTGTACAAATCTCAATTTGTGACAGAAATTGAAAGTTGTGTTTATTTTGTTGCAAAAAAATAAATATATTTTTATTCATGTACAAATATATCGACATTACTCTTAAAGCAATAACTGTGAAATATTAATGTAAACTTTAAATGCAATAATTAGATTGAAAGATTTCAAAAATTGTAATGGCTAATACAATAGAAGTAATAAAATTTGCTAGAATTTGACATTGTGAAATTTTGTAAATTTTTAACAACAGTCTACAAAAAATTTAATATGCTGTCAGTTCACTGCAAAAAGTGATAGAAAAAAAAGGGGAAGGAAAAAATTCCAGTGTAAAATTGCAGAAGTATTAAAAAAACAAATCAACTATCAAAAAAGTTTAAATAAAGAAGATATTTGTCTTCTATGAAATCACAAATGGCAAGTTTTTCAAAAAGACATTTAAGCTAAAACTGCTCTGGACTCAGTCACTAATGGCAGAACATTGCCAAGCTAACAAGCAATACATAAGAATTTACTTATCTCAAATAAAAACCATTAAATTTACATTCTTGCTCTGGTTTGAAGCCTATAATAAGCAAAATTATAAAAATAATAATTTTATAACACATTTTATGCTTCAAATAATAAAAAAATGATTTTGAACTATTACTCTTATCTTTTCCCTACATTTACTTTAAAAAAATGGAAATATAGCAGATTAAAAATTATGATAAAGCAAAAATTAATCAGTGACCAAATTTATTCCTGATATGTTTCTAGTTCATACTAATTACACTGTTAAAATATTAACTGCTTCAGGTTAATTACAATACAAAAATATATTAAGCAGCTTCATACTTATGAAGAGCTTTACCATCAGTTGAGAAAAGGCATTCAATCAACCCGACTCCAAAGGAAAGGCACAAAACACTTTCTATGGATCATTTCAAGCATTCAAGAATTTTAAAAGACAGAAAATTGATTGATCAAATAAAAAAAAATGCTTAGCACTATGTAAAATATTTCCAGGCAAAATTAAAGTGCTCGGTGAAAGAATGTTCCAACTCAGCTGTTTCAAAAACGTGTTCTGTAGAGCCCTAGGGCTTCGTGGAAGGATTACAAGGATTCTGAAAGTTAGGATTTTTTTAACCACTAATAGTTAAATCAATATCAAACCAATAATCTATAATTTATTTGATATTTTGGTTGTTAATATTAACTTATTTTTGCTAATGGAAAAAAATTAGCTAACTTCAAAAAAAAAAAATGTTTTTCAATAGTAATATATTGAAATTAAGAAAAGCATATGCATTTATAAAAACTTCAATAGGAATTACTCATCGAGAATTTCAATTCCAAATAAAATAACTAAATTCAATAATAAAGAATTATGTTTCTCTGATAACTACTCTCAACGCTTATTAGTTCTGTAAAAATCGCAATTCTGCTTATTTTATTCATTTTAAGCATATACAAACACAAATTCATATGATTCACATAAAATATATTTTCCAAAATAATTAGTAGCCTAAGTAGTCTTAATTAGTAGTTTTTTTGGCTTAGTATATTCACAGCTGCGAATGAACTTTTTTTTTATAATTCTGCGGCTCCACCAAAAAAAAAAGTGGATCAATTAGGATTCCACAGCCAAACAAAATTGGGAACTGCTATACTAAGCTATAATTTTAGAAAAAGAATTGTAATTTCTCTGAGAAAAACTTATTTTAGTTATATTTAACAATTAATAATCTTTCAATTTTAAATAACTTAGCTGATGATCATATTAAGTAATAATTTTTCAGTGGATAATTTTTAAGTGAAAGAAGGTTCTGAGTGCATTTGGCTAAAAACAGTCAACAAACCTCTCATCAGCATATTGGGACATCGAAATTGAAATGTTAGGAAGGAAACAACTTAAATAAGTAATAGGAGTTATAAATTTTGCTAATTGGAAACCTTCAAACAGGAAATAGAGATGAAGCTTTATCTCAATTTCCTTTTGCGTTTCTCAGTCACAGATGGAAGAAAAATAAAAATTCATTGAAAAATATTTTTGTGAGTAGATCCATATTAATTGTCAATACATATTAACTGAGACACATTAAAAACATACTCTATAGCATGTAATGTGCAGCACACATAAAAATTTTGACCATTATATCAAACAATTATTCTGAAATAATTTACACCTTCCAAAATAATCATTAGTATAATTTAAAAATTTACTTTCATTCAAAATCTGGATCAATTTAATTTTATGTAAATGGAAGGAAGTGTACTGCAAAAACCTACAAAAGTTTCCTAAATTAAAAAAGTCAAATCAATATAACTCCAAAATAGTAATTGATATGCCTTTAAAAAATATACCAAAAACACAGTAATTTAGTAATGTAGCAAAAAAAGCTTTAAAGTTAATTTATTTAAATTCACAAAAAATTTCACTTAGTACTTTTTTCTCTTAAGGTCTCCACCAATTAAAAGACAAAGTTTTCATTTTAGACTACCATCCAATGATAAATAATAGAACATGTTAACTGTAGAATGAAATAAATTAATCAACCAATAATATAAGTATTTAAAACAATAGTTTCCTTCTTGTTAGTAAAATGACTATTTTGCAATGAATATTCTGAAAAAAACACACAAATAATTGGTAACATAAATTATAAATAAAGCATAACATGTTTAATGGTAATCGAAATTAGTAAGTAACATAATTGATATAAATGAAATTACTATAGATTTTTTAAATATACAAACAACAATGAACAGATCTCAGATCTTAGTCAATTTTTAAAACCACAGTTTCAGAGATAAATATAACAGAAAAGATTAATTGGATCATTAAAGATCATACTCAATAATTAATAAAAGAAATAATTCATAATAAGTTAGTAGTTCTTCATTTATTAGTCAATCACTAGTTTTAAAATGTTATTACTGTTTATTAGTTTAACTCTCATTATCAACTTACAACTTTCAAATCAATTTTAAAAATAAAAAAGTTCTTATAAACAATGCAATTATTTTATTTTAACTATTTTTATAAAAAATAAATAACAATACATCAGATCTTCAGACATTGGTATTTTTCTCCCTCCACTAATAATACAGGAGAACATGTTTAGAATCTACTCCTGAATAATGTAGTGCTTATAAAGTCAATAGAATTGATCATTTAAGGAGAGAGAAAACTAAAGTCTGATGTCTTACAAAATTTTGTCTGAAAAGTTAATTTTAATATTCAGTTTTCAAATTTTCTAAAATTTATTTTAAATTTTCTTTCAAAAAAACTCTGTCAGGAAAAAAAATTTCTTCTCGAAGACAAAAATGCAAATCTGATGCCCACTGCTGTGCCACACTAATTCTGCAACCAGAATGGAAAAAGAAAGTGACAAATTTCATTGTTATGGATTTTATATTACACATAGTAACCTATTTTCAAACTAATAATAGCTAAAATCTTAATCATAACAATCAGATTCACTTAAAAATGAGATAAACTTAAGTATTACATTTTTGATCTAACACAAAGGGAACTCGAATAACTTAATAGAAATTACATAAAATTTTCAAACAACTAAATTTAATTTACGCATAGAAAAGAAATATCATTTTTCTTGTTATAGGTTGCACTTTTTTAATAAAAAAATATATGAATATATATTTTTTATTAAAAAAAATTACTTCAACAAAATAACTTGAATAAAAAATATTAAATGAAAAATAAAAACAAAAAATATAAGAAGGTTCTCTACTATTTTCCTTCAAAACATAAATATCTTCTTCTAAATGCAAGATTTTGAAATTTTATACTGACTAGATAAAAGTAAAAGTCTATTTAAATAAGAGTTTAATACAGTCAAACATTCACATTACCATTATGGCATGTATTGAGAAGTGAAACTATGCTAGTCTTAGAGTAAATTCAGTATCAGACCTTTAAAACTAACACTATTGTGTTAATATTTTAAAAATAAAGAGTACATAAATAGTAAAGAGTAATAAAGAGTACACAGTTTGCTCTAATAGTTTTACAAACTGGGAGGGAAAAACTTGAACCAAATCTCAGTTACACACAAAATTCTAATCGTAAACTGTACCAATCATTCAAAGAAAATAAGCTAAATTTGTAACTACCTTTAGAGTAATACTTTATGAGGTGAAGTAAACCTTAAGAAAAGAAACAAAATGATAATGATTTCCATTTAACAATTATCAGGTAAATATTTTTAAAGATAGTTGCAGGAACAATTCACTCTTGTTTCGAAATCTACAAGCTGGCACTTGGTTCCTGTAGGAACTACAGCAATAGATCATCTTAAGTGACTAGTGATGAGCACCTTATAATAACTTTGTACAATGACAACACATAGCTATACACATCATGATTTGACTGAGAATGTTAGGCAATATATTAATGTACATGTTATTCCACTGGGTAAGATTTAGACTCAAAAACATACATGGCATTTATTGCAATATGTTTGGTTAAAAAAAAACCTAGGAAATCATAAAGCAATAGGGAAAACGACAAAATGTATTTCAGTCTTAAATGACCAAAGATTCAATATAACTGAATGACATACAGTGTGCATTCACATCTCAAACAGAACAGTCATTCCAAAGAGTTTTAGGTTCCATAGGCAGGCTTGTATTTTGTATATCACAATCCCATCACAAGGCAAAGGCTGAATACACAGCCATAAAATCATGCAAATGCCACAATAAGAGGGGCTGAAAGATTTTAAATGAAAAAAATTAAACTGTCAGAAGTTTTGCTGTCTTTTTTTCTTTGCATCCATGGCATCTAGAATTGGTTGTCTCTTTGCTTGATAGCGCCTCCTCAATTCTTCAATTTCTCGTTCCATCTCTGAGTCTAAGTTAGCCATGCGTTGACTAAGCTCATCATAGCTAAGGACCTTCAACTAAAATTGTTAAAATAAATGCAATTAAATAATGATGTATGTTATAAATCTCCTTAAAAGTAGAATTGAATTGAAAAATCACAAACATAAACGCAGAGCAAATATGCCTTTCACACACAGTTTTTTTCAAAAATAAATTTGCTGTTATTGAACAAACATTTATAATAAAAGCTAAAACAAATATTCATAAATCACATTTAAAAAACTCTCTCACCTCACTAGTAGTTGTTATATGCAATATTCACTCACAATGAGAGAAGTTCTATTTGTTAAAACAGCATGTGAGACATCGGTGGTAATTGTGACTGATCTTTCATCAAACTCACCTTCTATGATCAAAATGTAATGTTTTTCATTACTTCTTCACATTATGCATTGTTTCCCACAGACAGTTTTGGGTGATGAGAAATCTTCCCACTAATCCAACATTTTATCTAATTACTAGTCTGCTGTATAGTTTTCTTAATACGCTTTTTAAATAAATAGCTATAATAGAAATCTCTTATAAACAAGATCAGAAGGATGATAAATATTTCATGCAATAAAAAACAAATACTTACAAAATCAAAATCGCCCTCAGTAAAAGAACGTTGAAACTTGGTAGCCTCGTGAAGAGCAGCTGATGGACCAACATTACTAATCTGATTCAGTTGGCGTTGAAGTTGAATGGAAAACCTCTTTTCTGGAGTTAGAGAATTGTTGCTTGATGTGTTTGATTTGACATCATTTTGTTGAAAATGATTAGGGTGAGGAGTTCCAGAATGAGGCAAAAATTCCTGACTATTATTTACACTAGCTTCATTTCTATGCAGTTGTTCTCTTTCCTTTTTATCAAAATGATCTAAAAAATATGGGCGGTAGTTTTCTTTCTTTTCACCTGGAGCAGTATCATGACCTTAAGGGGGGAAACACATTTTTATATAAACAAAGAACTAAATTTATAAAAAAGAAGAAAAAAAATTAAATTATCTAAAAGTTTAAGTATCTTTATACTGGGTAAAAACTTAAAGAGTTTCTTTTTAGATTAAAATATAATAAATTTACGTTTCATTGTAGAATCATCATCTTCTCCATCACTATTAATAACCAAAGTGCCTAGATCAGACTCTATGTCGCTGTTAGCAACTAAAGTGTTGGTGTCACTGTGGGCAATCATTGTATTATTTTCATCTGATTCACAGTTGCTTGGAACTAAAGTGCCAGAGTCTGCCACAAATTCTACCATAGTGTGAGAATCAACTTCATCATCATCCTATATAACATACAAAACAAATATTTACATTACAACTTTTAACTACATTGCACGAAAAGATTTGCATTAAAACATGAATAGTGTGTGTTCGGAAAGAAAGCCTACATATACTCAGAACAGTTAGTTAATTCATTCTTGTCAGCACAACCCCATATTTCATTTAACCAAGCAGATGGGTTACGACTAGAATTGAAACAATTCATCAATCAGAGTTAATTTACTTGGAACAGATGCCGTCAGTGTTTTATGTTTTCATGGAGCGTAACACTCCACTTTTCTACGAATAACGCAAAACGTAGAAACGAGAACTACAATGAAGACAAAATGGGCATGCTATAGTTTTGGTTCCATCAGTGAAAGCATGTAACAGTAGAGCTAAAAATTTACAACTCTATGCTTTTGCTGAAGATATTGCAATTTCAACAGCTTTAAAGCGGGTATAAAAAGAAGTTGGTAGAATTATAAATAAGTACAAAAAAAGTATATAGAACGAGCAAAGACTAACAATTCAAATTTACATGAGCTTAAGGTAAATTTAAATTTGAAAGCATTTCTAGTTTCTCTAACAAGGGCTCAGTAATAATTGATAATAATACTTCAGAAGAAATTATTTCAAGGATACAAAAAGGAAAAATAAGCTATTACTTAAGAATAACTTATTCAAGAACAAACTTGTTCGTAAAGATATTAATTCTAAATATGTAAAACAGTTAAAAGCTTATAATAATTCATGGTAATGCAGCTTGGACTTTAACAAATAAAGATGAAAATAATTTAATGCTTAGCATGTCTGTGCCATACAGAAAGAATCAATGAATATATGGGCTGAGAAAAATCTAGAAATGGAAACCAATGAACACAAGACCCAAAGGAAGACACAAAAAGAGATAGTTATATGATGTAACAGTAATGAAAATTATCAACTGAAAATCTAATGCTAAGAACAGGAACGATTGAAATAACATTGTTCAGCAAGCCAAAGCATATAGTAGCACCATAAAAGAAGCTGTCCTAGGTTATTTGAACAATCGGTCCTTTTGAAAACTGCAATCATTTCCCGGCTTAACGCAAACTGATGTTCTGCAGTTCAAAAAAAGCTGGATTTTCGAATCAGCCTACAGCGTATATACTATTTTTTGTACAACATTAAAGCAGTTAATCCTCAGGAAATGAGAAAAATTAATTATTTAATATGAAACCAATTATTGAACCTTATAAGTTTTTTCATTATCTGGAAAAATATTGCAGCATTTATGATTTTTTCTTTTGATATACAGAAAATCAGGGTCAAAAGATATGAGCATATTTTTCAGATTGTCACTTAGATTAACTATTAGAAAAAATGCATAATCTTTACTTATTTTTTGTTTTGAAACAATTTCAAGAATATGCCCCTCAATACTTACAATTGTTTGCAAATTAACAAATTTATTTTTCGGTTTACATTAGCAAATAAATATTGTTTCAGAGTTTTATGCTTCGAAACTCTTGATAAGTTGTGGATATATCCTCTGATATATTTTACTCATCTTCATCATTTTCATCACTATCATTGGGAGCAGCCATTAATTCAGATATTTTGAAATGTAATGCGATATGTGTTGTAAACAATATATGCATTATCAACTTCAGAAAATCTTCAATCACACAATTTTATTCTGAAGGGATGTTCCCATTAGATACAGAGAAGCCTGCTTAATTAAACCTATTTGTAATGCATTTCAGTCTTCACTATTCAATGCTGTAGAAATCAAATTCTTTACTTTCAGAATATTTCTTTTTCTTTTAGAAGCATTTTACAGCTTACTGAAATCAAGGCAAAGTAATCATTACCTAACCAGTTGTTTAGAGTAACGTTCTTAAGCTGACTGGATTATTCCATCATTCAAAGGTTTGATAGAAAAAATTCCACTCACAAAATATACAGTTCAAGATCATTCTCATATTTCCTTTAATCACCCAGCCTGTGCTTTGCCCATCCCACCATGCCTTTGAATTTGACTCAAAGGGCAAGTCCTCTCTCACAGACTAAAGAATAATAAGTTGGAATAGAAAGAATGTCATAACAGCTTCAAACAGCTAATAAACAAGTCTCTCTCTCTTTTTTTAAAAAAAAGAGAAAGAAAAAGAATAAATAAACTTAAAAAGAGTTTGTAGGAGCTTTGCAAAAAAAGTTGATTTTTATTTGTTCGAAAAACATACTAAGTAGGATTTTCTTTCAAAAAAGGTAACGCAAAATCTGGAATTTGCAAAGGAATAATCAGGAATAGAGCACGAAAAAAAGTTATTATTCAAATGCACAATTTGAAATTTGTGCATCATAATAACTTATATTTTTCTATATATATTGAATCATGTAACCACAATCAAGAGTGAGTTTCCTAAATTTTTTTTAGTATCCTCATAACCCATGTATCTACCAATATATCTACCACTTAAAATAAGTAATCTACAGTTAATTATAAATTTCAGTATTGTAAGGAAAATTTCATGATGATCAATAGCATAGTAATGTAAAATAATAGATTGTTCAAAACTTAATATTTGAATTAGGAAAAGAAAATTTTAATCAGATAAAACATGAGAAATTTGAAAAAAAGGAATAACTTCCTCTAGGATGATTTAAAAAGATAGGTGTTTTGAACAATATACACATAATGATATTAAAAACTTACAAAGTCCAAGTTATTGGTCCTATCTCTACGATAAGTTTCACTTTCTTGAATCTCTTTTGCTTCAGCAATCATTTGTTGCAATATTGTGACAGGTTTTGCATTTTTTATGTATTCATGCTGAAAAAAATAAACTTTTTAATGTATAAAATATATGTTCCAAAAAAAATCTGGCAAAGATTATTAAATAAGCAAAATTCATAAATAATAAAATATGTAGAATTCATTTACAACATTTTCATTGTATTTCATCTTATTTAATGCTGCATTATGTTAATAAGCAAATTACAGACCTCTTAATGGACTAAAAAAATCCAGAAATTTTTGGTACAGTATACATGCATCAGACTACTTTTAAAAAGGACAAACTACAAACCAAAAAAAGTATAATTAGTTCTACTTGATATATATTAACTTTATATTGCTAATTAAAGAAATTTTGAAAATAACCTCATTAGCAAATTTTCTAAGTAAAAAATCATGAAGGTATGCTAGGATCAAAACGCGTGTTATTTAATAAAAAAATAATTCAACTTGTATAAATAATTTTACTTGTTCTTAAATTCTTATACTAAGCAAAGAATTTCAATACCTTCATTCTTGGCTGTTTAGAAAGCTGATAAATAATATTCTTCCTACTTTCATAAATCTCATAGCATGATAGACTGCAGCAAATGAATTTTCTGCTCAATAATAATTTTCGAAACAATATAAGATTTCAAAAGACAGTAAATAAATATATCGTTATGCTGAACTGAAGGTAACTTCAGTCCATTTTCACACTAGTTATGAATGTTAACACATTTTTACTGTTATGTTCTTACTAATGTCTCATTTTGTCTACAAAATAGAAATCCATGTTTTAAACTTAGTCATTAAAAATCTCTGTATGGCAATTGAATAAATAGAACAGGGTTCAGTCACTTTGTTATACAATACCAAGATACCTTTTTAATGAATTTAATTGAAAGTAGTGAAATGTAAGGCTTATAATGGACATCCTGTATATAACTTGTTTCTTAATCAATTATAATTTTAAGACTTAACAAATATATTTATTTACTGATATTACTAAAAACTTTCAATTTGTAATAACTTTTTAAAGCTATAAAAAATAAAATGAATATATTCAGTCTCGGTGGTTATAAATACACAATTGAGGTGAAATTATCTTAACGGGTCTACTTCTCCAAAGCAATTAAAATTGAGTGTTTAAAAGCAGTGGCAATGGTAGGCCTACATAGATTCTCCTGTACACAGGATGCAAAAAAATAATAGAAATGGACAAATACAGTGACCTCTCACTTATGCACCACTTCTTTTATGCACCTTTTTCATTTATACGATGATTTTTACAGGTCCCAGTACATAGGGTATGAAAATAATGGTAAACATCCTTCGTTTATAAGTCACTCTAAAAATACATTTTTCAATTATGCGCCGAAATTCTAGGCTAGCATTTAAATTTTTTTATCCTTTAAATATTTTTTTCCTTTTCCAAAAAAAAATTTTTAAATTAAAAATTAAGCAAATAAGCAATCCTTGTTACAGATAAAAAGAAAAATATGTTGTTATATCTCATTGAATTTTCTTCCCCCTGTGACCTTTTCATTATTGCTGTTTCTGGAAAGACATTCTTTCTAGAATTTTGAATAGTGTGTATTATCTGTTGCACCAACAACAATGAAAACCCATTCTTCTTTTATAAAATGACCATTCCTCTTGTCCAGAGGTTACTTTTACTCCCATGCTATTTTCTAGAAAAAGAAGACACCTGGAATACGAAAGATGAAAGAGACCGCAATCACTTACTTGCAGTCAGATGGACATCATGAGTAAATATGAGAAGGTTCAACTTATTGTGTAGCATATTATGACGTCAAGTGCTTTTCTTAGAAATTTATCATGTGATGTTTCACCCCCTCCCATATAACTCAAATTGTTTGTGAAGAACTGTTCATTTATATCTAACTAGAACTTGTGGACGATGAGAATGTGGTGAATGACTCTGACGAGGATGATAAAGTTCCTCCAAATCACACAGCAGTATTAGAAGCTTTAGACACTATTCGTGACTATTTACAATTTAATTTTGCTTCTGAAACTCCCCCTTATCACATTTATATGAACTGAAAAAAAACTGTTTTCGAAATATGTCATCAAAAACAAATACAAACATGTATTAAGATTATTTTGTAAGAAAATAAATTGCCTTAAGGTATGTTAAATTTTTTCTTTGTATAATTATAGTAAATACCAAAACAGTATAAATATTAACATTTTATCTTTAGAAAAATATTTATTCATATTGTCACTGCAATTTACGTTGCGTTTTAGAATTTTGAAGTTTTTCACTTATGCGCTTTTTTCCCTTGGCCCCTTACACTAGTGCATAAGTGAGAGTTCACTGTATATTGAGAAATATGCATCAGATTGAAAAAAGGAAAATAAATCTATTAAATTTTCAATGATGCTAGATCTATCACCTTTATTCTCTGGGTGAGGGATGGGAGCAATATTTTGAAATTTTAAATAGGAACAAAAACTAAAAAGTTGTACTTTTTTCTGGGGAATCTGAATCTGCAATAATTCTTATTTCAAAAAATTCTAAAATTGTAATTTAAGATTCTTTAGGGGGTGCGGTTGAAGATCAAGTTTAGTATCCATCTTAAATTTTAAAAAATATTGAAAGCATCTATTTTAATTTTGCTTTGCATTTAAGATATTTGACAGTTTCCAAATATTTTAACAGTCTGTATATAAAAAGACACTATGATGGTCTTCCTCTTTAATAAATATTTTAAATACTAAATATTGAGGTCTTATTACTACAACTGCTTTCAAGTTATCAAAGATCATTAAAGCATGCTTTTAGATACCTGCAGAAGTTCCGTAGCTGTAGCTCTTTCATCAGGACTTTTTACTAAGCATCTAGATACAAAATCAATAAACTCTGAAGACCACTGATCAGGATCCCGAAAACTTGGAGGAGGCTTAGCAGGAATCATGAATATAGCCTGTCAAATAGAAGTAAAACAAACCTAAGACTATGTTAACAAAAACTACCTACATACTTTTTTCAAAAGTAAAAAGTTCAAAATCACACATTCATGGCCAAGCATTTAGCCCCATTTTCAGAGCTCAATCTTTTAATGGCCAAGGTAGAAATGCCACGTAATTTTGACCCAGGTGAGACAACTTGAACTGAGTCTGTTCCCATGATACACCTCTCTCCAGACTTCCACACCACAACCAATGAGAATAATTTCAATTATACCAATTACAATTTATCAGGCCTAAATTAGTTTCTAATATTTTTTTTGGTCCTATTCTCATCTCTTAGAATAAAATGATAGTGATAGAGAAATAGAGAGGCAAGTAATAAAATGGTTAGCACAATTCTTAAGGAACAAACACATGTCACAGGGCAGTGTATCATTGCAAAATTGTATATTTGACATGGTTAATAACAGTAATAATTCCAGATATGTAGCAACAGTTTTCAGCAAGTAAACACATAGGTAATAATTTGTACAAATGACAATAAACTTAAATTTGAATGCACCCTTTTGTTCATAGAATGATTTTTATCATACCCTCATTGGATGAATATCTCCATATGGAGGCTTTCCTTCTGCCATTTCTAATGCTGTTATTCCAAGGCTCCATATATCTGCCACACAATCATACCCGATTTCTTGAATAACTTCAGGTGCCATCCAAAATGGAGTTCCAATAACAGTATTTCGCTTAGCCATGGTGTCCTGAAAATAAAAAATAAATCGTTAAAAATTTTAAACTATTATTACATCATTAATAACAGGAAAATATCAATCACAGTTTGCGAAACTTAGTACATACTTGATTACATATTTTAGTAATCATTACAACATATTCTTATAAAATTATAAACAGCAACAAAATATTTTTGTTTCTCTTGAACACAAGTTCACACCTACCAACAACTATGAAACTTCCATGATCTTAAAAAGTATTTTTCCTAGTGGTAGTAAAAGTAGTGTAAAATTATTAATAAATTAAAAAATCAAACATAAAAGAATTTTGTCTTCTACATGTAAATTATTTTAAAAGACATATAAACGGTCATTTTGAAGAAAGGTCGAACAGGTATCAGATTATTCTAAAATTAAAATTCCAAGAAAATTAATTAAAATTCTGATTATTTTTCCTGGTTTTCCAGAAAAAAAATTTATAAAATTTTAGTTAAACATATAAATGTTACAGAAATTTTTTCTCTGCAACATTTATACAATTTCTGCAACATTTATTTTTTTATTTTATTCAGGCAACATTTATTTTTTTTTTATTTTATTATTTTTCATTTTATTTTTATTATTTTTATTTTATTAAAATTTTTTTTTATACAATTTCTGCAACATTTATTTTTTATTATTATTTTTTTCTGCAACATTTATAAAAAAAAATTCATACAATTTTAGTTAAACATATAAATGTTACAGATATTTTTTTTCTGCATTGGTTCTGAGCAAAAGTATCTTAAGAACCATAACTATGGGCATCAACAGATGGAGAAATTTAGCGTCCAAGCGTGCCAAATGGAAACGACTTATTAGGATCACTCTGGCCTGTACAAACCTGTCATGCTGATGGGAAAAGGAAGAATTTTATAAAGTATTTAAACGAATAACACATTCTAAAAATACACTATGCCATACAATTAGGCATTTTAATACTTTGTATTCTTGGTGTTAGTGGTCAAGTAATTATCAACAAAAAATGTATCCTGCTAAAAAAAAGGGGGTCAAAATTAACAATAAAAACAGAAACATCAAGGGCATCATTGGCATAGAACTTTGGAAACTCTTTAAAAAAGGATAAACTATTGTTGAAATAGATTTTTAAAAAAAAGGTACTTTTGTCATTATAAGTATAACACCACAAGCTTCTTCAATAACACCAACAGTAAAAGTTGATAGCAAATCTTTCACTGAAGTTCAAAATATTCTTTAACATGGGGGAATACTTCTAAGCTTCTTTCAGCGACTTAAACATTTTCCATGGATCTCACTTGACAAAATTTTAAAGGAAAAAGAATACAGCCTGTAATTGCTTTATAATCAACCCAATGAACAGGACTGTCCTTAAATAGTCTAGACATAGCCTGAAACAGATTATTTAGTCACCAGTTAGTAGATTCATTCGCTCTACAAAAAGTTCTGTATCTGACATGCAGTTTGCAAGTCCCTAAGCTTAATAAATTAAAACTGTTGGTTTCTTTAAGTTCATGATATAAATGTTCCCAGAATTTTATTTTAACTTTTGAACTATCCATGCATATCTGTAACAATTTTTTTTAGAACCAGCTCGGATGATCCCTCATAGAACTTTTCAAACAAATCTAAGGCAGTAGCACGCACAAGAGAAATGAAAGTTCAAACACCTCATATTAACTTCATTTGATTCCTCGTGCCAATACCTGTCTATCAGCTCCATTCGCTCTTCTTGTGCCTTTTACTACTTCATCAATACAGAAAACAAATCCACACAGAAAAAATTTCTTTTAACATTGCTTTAAAATAAAGAGCCAATCCAAAAGCCACAAGCTAAGACATTTTTGTGTTTCAGACGCTCATTTTCTGTGCAATATTGCAGGCAAAGAACACAGATATTGTAGAGCAGTGAACAAATTACCCAGATGTTTAAATTTCCCAGTTTTCTGGATCTCTAAAAAATATTCAATGCAGTGTAACTATTATATTTCTACTTTAATATTAAATTGAAACAATAGCCATATTTTAGCTGTTTTTATATTTAAATTAAAAATTGTGTATTTTTACTTCATTCTTTTTACTTTATTATATTAGAAAAAAAAAGCATATTGATGTATTTTTCTTATAATTTCCCAACCATATTCTGTTTGATTAGATTTCCCCTTCATAAATCAAAACGAAATTATTTTTTCATCTCGCTTCGCGTACAATATGCTGATTACAATTTCAAAAATAAAAAAATACATAAATAATAATAAAAACAACGGCCAAATTTTTTTCATTTTACCCCACAATCAATTTGGCAGACACTGGTTTGAGGAGAATTTCTTTCTTTGCTTTGCACACCTACATTTTCCTTGCAATTTCATTATTCCATTTGACTTTCAGGCAACCAGAATTGGATACGCAGCAGTTGGTTTTTCTACCAGTCAGAAAGTGGTGTTTTTCCTCACTCAGTTAGTAAATTCACTGTTATGTATATTATCTATTTTAGGTGATATCACACGATTTTAAGCATAAGCTCTTGGCGCGTCTTGTTAAATCACGGTTTAGTTAAAACACATCTATTCCAGAGTTCAGCTTCTTTTAAAAACTATTTAAACACTTTATAAAGTATAAATTAAAAACTTTTAATAAATTGTGTGATTTTTAAATAAATTTTGTCAAAATTAAGTGGCGACAAAAGAGTTGGAACTAGTTACAAGAGTCAATAATTTGCTAGCAGAAAGTTTTTTAATTAAAATTTTGGATTCAATTTCATTCTATCTAAGCCTGCTGCTCTTTTACATTTGATTGAATGGGAGAAAGAGAATTCCCCCAATTTTCCATCTACTCAGCTTCAAGGAGTTCAGCTCAGTAGTTCTAGTTCAAAATGGCACGGAAAATGAGCAAAGTTTTTCTGGTTTTTTATAAACAGGATAAAAGGTTTATACTGTCAACTAACAATGTTCCTGCTTAGTTATTGAATAAAAAATAGATGTATGTTAGCCGTTTTTGTAATATACTCAATCTCTGTTTCCATTTCAATTTTTTACTTTATTAAAGTAAAGTGATGCATTTTTTTATTACCCTTCTACCTCCTGTTCACTAAAAAACATATGTAATGCATTTCTCCCTCGTAAATCAAAGTGAAAATGAAATCAGCATGCAGCTCCTTTGCATATGATTGACAGCAGCCTATCAAAAACCACCGGTTTTTTCCCGCGTACAGAAAAAACAAAGAATCTGTCCCTTTCCCGCCCATTCTTGACCTAAAAATTTTTAAAGCTAAAAAATAAAAAATAAGTTATTCCAAGACACAGAGAGAAAAATCCTCACACTTTAACAAATAAAACTTTCAACTCCAAATTACATAAATGAACTAACTGTGAAACCACAACTGCAAGAATTAAAAGACACAACAGCTGTGATGAATGGTCAAGCTAGAAATGTTGCTTTCTTTCCCAATTGAATTATTGTTAAATTTTATTTAATAATGCTGACTAGTGAGCTATATGTTTGTTTCTATTTGAATCAAAAGGATTTTCAATAAAAAGTTAATTTTTTTATATTGGAACTCTCTACTATATTCTTAAACAGAAAGACTTCTAGTTCGATACTTAAGAATACACATAACATCTTTTTCACACAAAAAATTAAATTCATAGTTACCATTTTTGTTTACTTTCCTCCCCTCAAAGAAAATGCAATGATCTTTAAATAATAGCTTATCACAAAGATCAATTCTTGTATAGTTCAATTACAGATAAACTTCATTCTATTAAATTAAAACAAGAGAAACAAAACAGAGCCAAAAAATAAAGATTAGAAAATACTTAATATTTTGAAGAAAATTAAAAACTTACAGTTAATTGTCCAGCAACTCCAAAATCTGCAAGTTTTGCATGGCCTTCGGTATTTAAGAGGATGTTACCAGCTTTGATATCTCTGTGTATTTTTCGTCTATAATGCAAATATTCTAGCCCTTTAAGAGTGTCACAAAGAATAGTAGCTATTTCTTCTTCAAGAAGCTAAAACAAAATTAAAAACCTTAAGGATAAATTGCTGTTACAGAAAAACTATATAAAATAACTCAAAATTTTTAAGGGAAATTGTTGATTTGTTTATTATAGCCTGTTTTTCAGTAGTTTTTTATATATTTCTCCCCAGTGACAGAATTGTTTGAAGCTTCCTGTGATAATTCTTTCTAACATTTAATAATACCTATCTGAAAGACATTCTTAATAGTAACAAATATATATGCTACTAATTTTAAGTAAATGAAGCTATTTGTGTTTACAAAAAAAAAAGCCTTTATGCATAGACTAAAATCGTATTTAATTTTTTTCATTGTAGATTTAAGAATTTTTTTTAAATCTACAAATAAAAGAATACATATTCTGATATTAGGGGCGATATTCTTCCATTTTGACAGGAAAAAAACACACTAATTATTTCCTTTTTCACATTTTGTAAATCATCATCACATTAAAAAATTTAAACTAGATGAAATCTGTGACAGTAAATACTGAAAAAAGTTCAATGACAAAACCATATGAATCAGACTCTTCAGAAAGGGGTTACTAAAATGCATGTTTTGTGTAGAGATTCACTTGCTGCAATAAATAATATGGTATTAAAAATATGTTATTTCAAGAGCTTTGTGGAAATCATTAGCAATAACTGCTGAAAAATTGATCGAAGAAAGATAGGATCTTGCCAAGATAGGATCATTGATCAAGATAGGATCATTTATCTTTCAAAAACTTCCGCAGATAAGAAATACATTTTTATTTATTTATTTATTTATTTTTTTTTTGTTTCTAAAGTGAAAAATATTTCTAAAAGAATTCTGTAAGGTTCTACGATAATGTCACCATGTTGTTGTGTAGTCTTGACAAAGAATTCGACAGGAGTAACAATATTAAAAACAATTTTATAATAATAAATAGTACATCGTTCTCATTTGATGGGACTATATGAGATCTCTCACATGAGATTGAATTACACACAAAGATATTCTATGAAGTAGGAATAACCCAATCAAAAAATTTAAATAATAAAAACAAATAAAGAATATTTATACTTAATGATCAAACATTTTTTCATTGAGTATAAGGCCAAATGATACAGCAGTTAAGAAAAGCAGAACTTTGCCTGGCAACATTTCAGAAACACGTTTTTGAGAGAAATATAAAATAAAATAAAATAAAAATGGAATAAAATACATTTCTCATAAACATAGTCAGTAATTTCACTTTGAGTGAGTAATCTGAAATTTTGTTAGTTGTTCCAAAATACCATTACTTATTTTACTCTCAATTAGAATAGTTTCTCACTAAAAGCCAATCTGAACATTTAATATTTTTTTATTTTTTAAATTACTATTTAGTTAAATTTTTTTTTAATCAGTTCACTAATTTTGAATGCAACTAAAAATTTAGAAAGAAATTGGGAGTGACACCTGATTTCACCATATTGATGATATTATGATTATTAAATTGTTATTTGGATTAAAATCATTTAAAATAAACTGTACAAAGAAATCATTTCAAATTTTGAAACAACTAAACCAAATCATACAAGATTTGATTTTATACTATAAAAACAGTAAAAATGTATATGGTCCTGATTTCCTTTATATAGTCATTCTAAAATAATGTAAATAATCAAGTTTTTCTTTATTAATAATATTTTCAGTAGTCCCAGAAATATTGAAACGACAAATTATATCGAGTAGATAAGATATTTCAGTCACTTTTGTACAATATGTGGATGCTTCTGTAGTTTAACAAATCAAATTTTTGTAATTATTCTTATAAGAAAAACCAAGTAAAAATAGCAAAATTCCTAGTCCATAAAGATTACTAAAATAAATATCCGTTGATGGTAAGCTTTCAAAAGCCAAAAAAAAATAATAAATAATAAATAATTAAATAGAATCTTCTATAAATTATAGGTTTTAAATATAAAATAAGAGTTCCTACAACATAATAATTTTTGAAAAGTTTTACATGAGATTAATTATTTACTTTAAACATAAAATATTACTAGATGGTATAATATTTTGATACTAATTTGGGAAGTATTGTCATAAGAAAAGTTGAAAAGAATTAGACTTAGTTTTTTTTAACTGCAATTTAAAAACTTTAAAACAAAAAAACTATAATCCAAACAATACAGAATTTTTTAGACAGTAAAAATGCAATTGATTTTATTATTTAAATTTAAGATAAAATATGAAATATTTTACGCTTACTGTTTTCTTTCGCAATCTCATGATATCTGAAACAGATCCTCCACCACAATATTCCATCACTATCTGTAAGGAGAAAAACAAGAATACAATAATTTGAAATTAAATATTTCTGTAATATGAAGAAAATTAATATCTTATACAGTAGGGAACCGATTATCCAGAACGATCGGGACCATCGCTATTCCGGATAACTGATTTTTCGGGTTTTCTGAATCGCTACAAAAAGCCGTTTTTTTATTGTTAAACCCAACTAAAAAAAAAAATTTGGAAATAATCTTAAAAAGAAGAAAAAACGATGAAGTAATACAGTAATGATTATTTCTAAAATGATGGTATGGTAAACATCTTCTAAAAAAGAAAGAAAAATCCTAAAATCTTATGAGGAAAAAAATTTTTTTTTTTTAAATGGCGGGAAAACTTATCGAATTTTGTTCCGGTTTTTTGGTTTTCCAGTTTTCTGATTTCCGGATAACGGGTTCTGTACTGTAGTATAAAAAATAAACAGCAATATGCACACAAAAAAAAATCTGAATTCTATGGCCCTTTTTATTTGAAATTGTTGCAAAACTAATTAATTTTTTTTAATATACTAAAAAAAATTAGTATAAAGAAGATAAAAAAAAAAACAACATGAACAAAAAAAATTTAATTTCTATTTCATTTTGATATCTGTATTTTTTTATGGCTAGAAATATACAAGTATATTTAGGGGAAATCAGGCTAGTTCAGATAAATAGAAGATTCTGTTATTATTACTTGAAATTTGTATGTAAATTTTGGCAGATTGACAAAACTGTGATACACTTCCCTATGTAGTTACATGAGAAATCAATTGGTAAACAGTGTATTAAAAAACAAGATCTTTAGAGAAGAAAAAGTAAATCCTTAATTTGTTTTTGCCATTTAAGACTATTTTTATTCATTATTTTCACCAATAGGAGTTATAATATTACAAATGAATATGATTATTACATATTTTAATAAAAAAATTTACTTGCCATTTTTTAATTAACCAATAATGAGTTAACTAATAATTCCACAGGGCTAAAGTGAACGCATAAATGTGGGGCTACTGTGGACATAACAAGAATAACTGAGTCTTTTAGTGATAGTAAAATTGCATTAATGCTAGCCAGAATTTCCTTTTATGCAGAAAATGTATCACAGTTTTCAGATACCACTTTAACATTTGGAGATCTGGTGAAGCACATTTCTCATACAGTTATATTTTCCTTACAAAATAAAGAAGTGTTGGTCACATATTTAATAAATGTTTGAATTTTGTCTTATTTTCATTACCACTATTTAAGTTTTCCAAGAACTGTAGGAACCCTGATACATTGTTTACATATTTACCAAAGCAGAAGCTGCAGATTGTAATAACAACTAAGGTTAGAAAAGTTAAACTTTGCCATCACTTAAAAACTTCACCACTATATTATCAGATCGTACAGATTTGTTTTGATTGTTTATATATATACATTGTTGTAACCAAATCACTATCAAACAACTTTATTACATCAAAAAGAAAATATCAAAGAGTAATATTTGCTTAGCATTTAAAATATTCAAGAAAAATCTCTTAATAAAATGGGAGTATTGGAGTTAATGTATTTATTAGGCTTCAACGTTAAATATTATAAATATTTTCAAGATTATTCACTCAAGACTGTATTTTAAGCTAAAATTTTTTCAAATTCGATTTTACCTGTTTTCTTTTTAATAAGCAATTAAAGATTAACAAGTCTTAAGGAATATTTACAATTGCTCCATTACATGGGACTTATAGGTACAAAAACAACCTTTTTTTTAAAACAAGATTATTAAAAAAGTATGTATCCAAACAGTAATATGCAGAGATGTTTGAATGCCTGCAGCTAACTCTCCAATTAGATGCCTCTGAAAAGAGTAGAATAATCATTTGAAGGGGACAAAAAAGGAGCCTATTTTGTTTTTTAAAAATATTAGAAAGATATAGAATATCTAATATTTAAAAAATAATAGATATTCATATAAACCAAAACCCATATTATAAATCCATATTTAAACCCATTTTTATGTCAATTCAAGCAAAAATGTTTCGATTTTAAAAAGTTTATCATTTCCAATGACACATCCTTAAGTTTTTATTATAAGTAAAACAAATTTCAACTTTAATGACCTAGAACCTCATTATTTGAAAATCATAGTTTATATTTTATAAAAAAAATTTATGTAGCAAGCATATAACCACAAAAAATTTACCTAATTTCTTAATAAAGATAATAGATTTATAGTTTTGATGCCCTAAGAGGTAAGAATGAATGCCTGAGGCTGTTACTCTCTTTGCCACACTCTTTGCACACCGCAGCATCCAAATTACTGTATATATCATTCAAAATCAAAACAAACATACAAATTTCAATGAAAAAATATAGATGTGTAAAAAATAATAAATAATAAAGTTGCTTTAGAAAGTTTACAAAAACTGTAAAGATTTGTCTCCTCTTTCTTACCACAAATCAAATCACGTAGTATAATATATTTATATATAAATATAAGAATACTTTACTTTTGCCATAAGTAAAGAGACACTTAGCAACCTCATCTCTGAATTTAAACATAACAGTTTAAACTTTCCAAATAGTTCTGAGAAATTTTGAGTCTACATTGAAATATACTTTATAATATATGTCAGAGTGCTATCCTTTGATAAAATACCAGCCATTTAATGCCTAATTGTAGAACCTTCAACTTTAACAAAGTTTAAAGTGTATTTTTTATAAGTTTAGTTCATTTTAAGTACATATAAATGAAATTTGATTTGTCCTGAAACATAAAATTGCAACATAATGTTAAATAATGTTGTAAAACATTAATGATTGATCCGGTATAGTGCGGCTTTGAGGAGAATGTAACAAGCTACTATGTAACAAGCAAGAGCACAACTCTAATAGGGGTGAAATGGAGAAACGAAGGTGTAAATGGGTTTACTAAGACTGACTTATGCCAAGATTAAAACAAAACTAGGTATTCACCCCACACCCCTATTCGAAGTGTATTTTCCTTGTAACCTTAGTACCCGCCACAATGCGAGACGGAGATGTTCTCTTGAAGGCTGCACTATACTACTGATGATAAAATATTTTCTTTAGTTCTGTTAATAAATACTTAAGAACAAAAATTTTTGTCAATGGATATGTTATACATAGGCAGTGTTTTCCAAAAAAAATGCTTAGAGTCATTTCATTTCTCTAATAATTCTTGAAGAATGAAATTTAAAATAGAACTGAGAACTTCAAGACATTATACTTGTAAATTGCCACTATTTTATTACATATTATATTCGAATATGTTATGACAAGAAATCATTCTAAAATTATTGATTGAATATTTAACCAAAAAAAAAAAAAAAACTATTTATAACTTTTTCTAAGCATTAGGTTAATTAGACTAATGATTTCTAAAGAAAACAAAATATATTGATAAAATTTAATTAATTCTAAGTTTAATGTATTTTTTCACAAATTCAAAGCTTATTAAAAATGTATGTCACAATTAACATTTTTATTTTAGACATGAAAAGAAAGTCCTTCACAAGAAAATCTGGAAAAGTCTTCCAAATGCCCATCTCCAAGCAGAGCTCATTTTCTACATTTTATTCTATTTGGAGTCGCAAAATATCTTTCTTACAGACAGCTAGAGTTATTGGCACTTTTATATTAGACATTTGAATATTAAGAAATATTATAATTAGGAATGCCACCATTACCTTTAATAAAAAGAAAAGGAAATACGAAACTTTAAATTTAAATTTTCAATTATTAGAAGTCTAAATTCTTTAATTTATTATATTAAACATTATACCTCCTTTTTAATGCCTACTGGTTTTTCCAAAAGAATTTTGCAGATAAGTTAATCCATTCTTAAAATAATAAATAACCTTGCAAATAATTATCACAACAAAACAATTTCAATAATAAGCACACTATAATAAAATTGTGCTATATTTCAGATTTTATAAAGTCTATATCCATAAAAAGAAATTAAAATAAGATAATAAAAAAAAATATGAAAGAGAACGTTTCTTTCCTTCTACTGTAAACTATAACTTCTTCTTTCTTTATTTAGATATATTTTTAGTTTATATTTATATACTAATTTAATCTTTTAAATATACTCTAATGCATTATAATTCCATGCTAGGTTTCTGAAGTATTTTACCAGTTTTTGATGCTTCCCATATCAAAAACCAAGCCTGCCCAGAAAAGAACTCTCAAAAACTGCTTCACACAATTAATTAGTTTAATTAAAGTACAACATTCAACTGTAAAATCTCTTACCCATAAGTCAGTTCCTTTAAAATAACTTCCATAATATTTAACTACATAAGGGCTATCACACTGTTGCATTATAGAAATTTCCTTAATTATCTCCTGAAGATCTGTATCAACCGGAACTTGTTTAATGGCAAGAACCTGTCCAGATTCTTTGTGGAGTGCTTTGTATACACTTCCATAACTCCTAAAAACATTAAGAGAAGATTGTAGGAAACATTAGGATAATGTTAAAATAATTTTTCATAATTTAAAGGAAACATGTATATTTAAAAAAAAAATCTTACCCTTCTCCCAATTTACATATAATATCAAATACTTCTTCAGGTTGCCTAGTCAAACTCTCTTCACTTAATTTTTTCAGCTCACTAAAAAAAAATATTATAAATAATTTAGATGAGTTTTTATGCATCTAAGACATCAAACCTCTTAGTAGGCAAAAGTAAAAATCAGAGCTATACCACATCAAACTAATAAAAAACTACAATTTGTTCTATTTTTTAAACATAAAAATTGCATAATTTATTAGTGTAACACTGAACAACTCATAATAGTTTTAGATCAATGTATCGAAAGTTTTTAAAGTACTGTTGTAAAAAATAGGCAATATCAATTGGTTAACATTCTCTTACATTAATACTTAATAAAAATTTGTAGTTAAGTACAAGACTTATTTTTATCAAGCAATATGCTACTTATATTATGTATCAAAGAATATGCTACTTAGCATTTTTGTATAAAAGTAATTTAGTGGATAATCTCCCAATTCACGATTTAAAACTTCTTTGCTAATTGATTATTGATAATTTTTGGATAAATGATTAATGACTTTGATAATGGAAATTGATTATTTTTAAAATGAGATAAAAGAACTAAATAAATAACTGTGAAACTACAAAGCTACAAGATTTGTTACTACATTTGTTGAATATAATATATGGGTATATTCACTTAAAAACTAGGTAATCTAAAATTGTTAACTTTTTTTTTCTTCATAAAATGACAGAATTCTCAAAATGTTTAAAACAATAAATCTTATTAGTAAGGTTAATGCTTAATCAGATATAAAATTAGTGAACAGTCCCTAAGATTAAACATTCGAATTTTACAACTTTTACAAACATTATAAGTCAAAATAAAATGAGGTTGAATCAAAAATCGAAATCTTTCGATTCTTCAAATCAATTATTTTAAAATCCGCATTTGTATTTGTTGAAAATGAAATGTTCTAAACATACACAAAAATCAGGAATATCTGGACGAAAAGCTAAAAAATCAATACTAAATATTTTTAATCATGAATATCAGGACAACTACAACTTTCAATAACTCTGAGTTATTGAAAACCTTCAATTTCAAACACATTACTTTTCTCTTAAGAATATACAGAAATAAGACTAAATATTTATATCAAAACAAGGTTAGAGTGGATGTAGAAATTTTAAACCTATATTTATATTAAATAATGCAATATATTTTGATTTCATCATTGATAAATGGTTAGATAAACTAGATTTAACTTTAAACAATTCTGTACCTATTTAAAGAATATATACTCATATATTTACATCCCCATTTTAGAGATTCACAGCATAATAATCTATAAGGCGATTCAAAATTATTTTGATAAACTTCGTGCTAACAAGTTTTAGAAAACAAAATAAATATTCAAATAGAAAAGGCGAAATAATTGTGGATTCTTAATCAAATAAAAGATAAGTCAGTAGAATTTTTATTGTACAGAAACCCAAATTTTAAAAATATAAATTAATTAGTTCCAGATAAATAATTTAAGAACAATTTCTTAAAAAAGAATAGTTATAAGAATTCACAAAATCTGTTGGTTTCAGGGGTGATTGTGAGCCTACCCTTTCACACAGACAAATGCAACCTCCTTACCTTTTTTTTTTAACATACTATGCATTTTTTATTTCAATAAAAGAAAGCACCTTAAATATATAATTTTATAGCATTTTAGGTATTTAAAGATTTAAATCAACCAAAAAGTTATTATTTCTTCATGAAAATTAAAAAACATATAAAAGAAATAATAAATAAAAAATGCACAGAGAATTTGTCTCAAGATTAGTTGTTCCTCAAAAATCCCCAAAGCTTCTTTCAATGTTAACTTATGGGAAAATTTTATAGTTGTTTTCTCAATAATTAAATGCTTGAAACTTTATTATTTCCTATAAAATAGCGAATTCCCAAAACTACTCGCATTAAGATAACACTAGCATTGTTAACTTGGCTTTCATTATTATTATTATTCAACTTAGTTTTACTTACATCCAAACACAGCTTTAAAAGTTTTAATCTTGAATCTCAATTTTGCAAATTGATTCTTTTATAATTCAAATTGTCATAAAATTTACTTCTAATTCATTTTAATTAAGTAATCACTGCGAATTAGAAAATATAGGGAAGGGATATAAAACTGTTTTGCGGATTGCACACTCACTCTCTCTCCGTCCCAAGAAAAATAATTTAGTTACAGTTTATTATAAGCACTGTGCGAAATATTTATATCATTAATAGTTCCTTAATCATATAAGTTATGAGAAGCTGAAAAAGTAGAACTTACCATTTTCAATGAAATTTTATCAATAGAATGAAATACAATGAATGCAAATTGTGATTTTTAATTTATAATTTAATGGTATTCAGTGTAAATAGCATTTAAAATTTGCTATACTCAGTGTGATTTTTATTTAAAAAAAATAAATATACACAGATTTGCTTTAAAAACAAAGATATAAGCAGGAAACTCAGATTGCATTACGGTAAATTGGAATAATGGTTTTAAAATTTATTACATATATAATCTAAATTTCTTAGAGATATTTCAATTTTAAATTTTCAAAATAAACATATTTTAGGTTGACTGATTCCCATATTAGACAGATAAGGGAAACGAGAACTTCAGTTGTACACATAATATACAATTTAATATTTTAAGTTATTTTTTGCTCTTTCCTCCATTTAGGAATAATGAAGTTATTATTATTTTTTGTCTACCTTTGTCCCTGATATTATTATAAACTGCTGGGATGATCCCAGCTGGATATCTAAGGGGGGGGGGAGAGAGTAAAAGCGCTCAAAACACATCGTTTTGTTTTGGGAACATTTGGTCGCCTAGTGAAAACTCAAATTTTTTAGCTAAAAAAAATTTACTTTTAAAAAAAAAATATTTCTAAACAGTTATCGGCTGTCCAGATTTATTTTCCTCTAAGATAAAAAAAATTACTTATTCTAACTATTAATCTTATTAAAAATTAGAATAGAATTTTCAATACTAATGTTAAATCTTCCTACGACATGGATCTGAGACATGGCACTGCAATGAAAATAACATGAAAAAATTTCAAGTACTTATTAACAACAGTTTAAAAAGAAGCTCACATATCAAGTGGTTCCATAAAATTTGTAACACATAAATTCTTAGAAAAGCTAAACAGAAACTGATTAAGCAGGAAATTAAAATACGTGAATGGAAATGGATTAGTCTTATTCTACTATGTAAACCTGCAAAATTTAAAGTAAAACAAAATTTTGATTAAAACTCCCAGGGCAATAGGAAATAGGGAACAGCTGAAAATACTTGGTCCAGGACAATTCTAAGGGAATTGAAACAATAGAAAAGTCATAGAGAGAGGCAAAATAACTGGCCACAAATAGCTTGTGAGGGAGAGGTATGATAGAAGCCCTATGTTAAAATTCAGGATGAAGAGGAATATGTATGTATACTTATTGAAACATTTAAATAGTGCTATAAAGGTTTAGAAAATGAAATTGATAAAGAACTTGTGTTTCTTCCTGCTACTTCTCTTAGGGTTGTTTAGTGTTTTTGTCTTAAGTTGAATAAGATGATTCTTTTTTCTTTTTTGTACTTTTACTTTCAATAGTTAAACAAATTAACAGATAAATTGCAATTTTACACATTTTTAGTCATAATTATTTAAAATAAATGATTTTTCTCTTGTGATTTTCTATTATTCTTTATTATGATTTTCTACACCAAAACTTTGGGTTTTTGACATTTGTCAAAAAAAAGGAAGTTTAATGATAAAATGATTACGGAACATACTTGATTGATCACTTGAAATTTTATATGTACTTTTATTTATATGTATTTTATTTATACTTTTATTTATTTTTATTTTATATGTATTTTTTTTATTTACTTGCTAATAATTATCAAGCTTATACATTAGCTGAATGTTTAAAACCTCTCTTGAAATTCTAATTGTGAAGCATTAAAAATTCTCAAAATAAGACTGTATCAAATTATTTATACACCTGAAGCAACCATGAACCTTAAAACAATAATAAGTTGCATATATTTTTAGAAACATTGCCACAAAATATTGGCAATTTTAATAATCTTTAGACCAGAGCAAGACAATTGTTATTTAGCCAGTTTGACTGAGGTGTGTTGAAGGTTAATAACAAACAGTTTAAAATCATTTTAACATGTGCTGCATTAAGTGCAAACAAAAGGAAATTGAATTTAACTTTTATTAATTTAAAGTGGTCTATACCAGTGCAATTGGTATGTAATTGATCTATAACAGTAGAATTAGAATGTAATAGGCTGAAAACAACACATTCTAACTTGTAACGTTTTAAAAGGATCTTATTTAACTAGAATTTTAATAGCAGAATCAAAATACATTATCATACAATAACAGAATAAAGACTGATTTCTTAACAGACTATTACTTATTTCCTATCATTTGCACTTGGGCTGTTGCCTATTACAATAATTTTAATCCTCAGAGAACTGCAGTCAGACAAACTGCAATTATTTTACTTTATTCTATGTTCATATACACTTATGAGAATTTTACATCCATATAAATGATTGGATTTTTCGTTATTATGAATTCCAAGTAACATTAATGCCTCACACAGTCCAGCATTTAAATATATATTTTGGATTAAGAAATCAATTTACAAAGAGAAACAAAGTACTATGTTTTATTATAGTACTCAGTATCATTTTTTTAACATTTATAAAAAGCTCACTTTTTGTTGCTTAATTTCACAAAACTGTAATATAGATGCCTTTTGCTGTCTGCAATTTTATAGAGGGAAAAGAAAGTGGAACTAGTTAAAAAAGAAAACTTAAAAGAAACTTACATAGAGTATTGATGCTTTAATTTAAATTCAATTATTAACATAAAATTTTGTTTAAACTCATTGAGAAAAATTAAAGTGTAATGTTAGTTTTATCAAATTGGCAAAAATAGATTAAAATAAGAATTAATAGAGTTTATTTCCAATTACTTTAGTTTAGTTTATAATTACTTTAGTTTACTTTAAGTTTAACTTCAAAATGTAATGAATATTTTATAAAAAGGAGAAAAAATATAGGCATTAAAAATATATTCAATCTTTTTTAAAATCTTTAGAAGTGGTTTATATTATTATTTTATGCAGAAAATAAGTGAGTTTTAAAGGGCAGGGGTACTGTACTATCTTTCCTAACTAAAATGCCATTGAACCTAGTATAGTAAACAATAGGTAGTTCAACATCAATAGTTCACTTCATTCTAAAATTTATAAAATCATCAAAACTTTTAATGCATTGACACTTCAATTATGTTTAACAACGTTTACCATACAACTAACACATATCGTAATAGAGCAGAGAGCTGGAATCAAGAATGCTCTAAATTTTCCCATGCTCCAGCAATTTTATTGTATCTTGGAGAAATCCAAGTGGCCTACCACATTGCAATAGCATTTCCTCTTAGCCAACTAGCTGTAGAAAGATTATTCTTAGCATTAAAACACATTTATAATAATTTAAGATCAAATATGAAGAAGAATTTATTAGATTTGGAAGATTTTTGCACAGTAATCTGCGGCGGAATAATCGTCAAGTCTTGGCAGCTTCCGGGCAGTGAACAATTTGCAAGTTTAAAATCCATTTTACTCCGTGGCGATTGTAGATGACATGATGTATCTTAATATGGAAATATCCCCATTAGATTCAATTTTATTCTTATGTAAAAACAAAAAACTCAACTGTAAATTAAATTAAATTTGCATTTTCTGTGTGAGCTGATGAATATGTTGTTTTGCAATGTCTTTCGTTCCCTTCAACAATAAAAATTTCAAATAAATATCTGAAACTCAAAAGCAAAAGAGTTTTAACGGTTTAGCTAATTATCTAGAGCCGAGCTGGAAATCGAATACTTTTCGTTTCAGTTACCTAGCAAACAGATATTTTGATAAGCTAAGGAATCGTTAAAACACTGTGATACTTATTAGAAATGTTAGAAACAACTCTCTAAAATCCGTACATGCATAATGTTTTATGAAATGCTACAAAGACAAATAAAGAGCGCGATGAAGATCGATCAAATTTCAGACCAGATTAACAACATTAGTTTACATCCAAAGAGTAATCAAATAAGGAATCTAAAAGCATATGATAATAAGAATAAACAAGAAGCTCTTGCAAATATTAAAGACTGCAGCAGAAACTTAAATATATATTTATTTTAAATTAACATATACGATTAGGATCTAACTAATCGGTCAAGCAAATTTAGTATGACAGCCATATAGCTTCTGAAACTGATACACGATTGGAGTATAAATCACAATCTGCATGAGTAAACGCAACATTCAAAAGTAGATAATATTTAATGATAGGCTTAAATGTTTCATCTCACCTTTTAGACATGATACCAGAACTCGGGGTGAGTTTTGATAAATTTTAATGTGCGATAAATAACTTTCGCATCGTATTCTGAACACAGGTCCACAGACAAATAAACCCATGCTTCTTTAATTTAGAAAGAATAAATATATGAGCCATAACATTTCAAATTTAAATAAACAAAATTCGCATAATTATCTTGCTGAAAATAAATAAACAAAAAGTTTTCCTTTTACAGCTAGAGTTATTGCCAGTCAAGTGAAGTGAAAATCATACTTTAAAATTAATTTAGATTTCGCTGGGGTTGCTTAGATCCTGATCATAGCCTTACGAAGAGGATTACAAAAAGATGACAGAGTAAACAGCTGAACTAAATATGAAACGTTCTCACTGTATGCAATTCACGCACTGCCAATCCCCGTCAACAGAAAAACAGAATTTGATCACATAACAAATCACCCTGCCATCTAGTGGTATAATTTCGAAAATTGTAAGAAAGGTCTTTTTTATTTTCCTTAAATGAGCCTGTGACCGTGAGTTGGGAGTTAAAGAGAAATTGAGTAGTAAAGTATGCAAGTAATGTGCTTTCCCTAACCTTGTCTCTGTATGTTTATATATATATGTATATATAGCATAATAAATGAATACAGAAAGAAAAAAACACGAAGAAAATTAAGAAAAACAATAAGTTTTATTTACTGCGCATAAGCTGCAAGCAAATAGAACTCATAAGAATAAGTTAAAAATGCTGAGAAAACATGGAAAAAATGAAAAAAGGGGAGAAAAGAAAAATAATAATAAAAATAACAAGAAACCGGAAAAAAATTCGAAAAAAAGGAAAAAAAATTAATAAAAATCCGGAAAATAAGAGATATAATCTTATATAAAACTATAAAGATCATATCTTTTATTTTCCACATTTTTATTAATTTTTTTTCTTTTTTTTTTCGGATTTTTTTTCTTCCTGTTTCTTGCTGTTACTTTTATTTTTTATTATTATTTTTCTTCTTCTCCCTTTTTTTATTGTTCTGTAATTTTTCTACATTTTAAACTTATTTATATATATATANTATATATATATATAGATCGAAAACCTTGTTATATCGAATTTTTTCAGAAAAATCATACTTTTATATGTATGTATATATATATGTGTGTGTATGTATGTATATATATAAACACAATAATAGTATTGGAAAATAAAACAAAACAAAAATATTCTAATGGGAAAAAGTAAAGATCCCCATCAAGATACGTTTCTTCAAGTAGAGATATTTCGAAATAAAGAATAATTATCCCAAGATAAAAAAAATATTCTTTATTCTGTTTATCGCTTAAAAATAAAACTGCAATTGAAATGGTGATTGAGATGAAAGAAAAAAATGGAAAGCAAACTTACCGATATTGAATTTAAAAAAAGCCTTAAAAATAGATATATTAAAACAGTCAAACCCCGCTATAGTGAACACGATTTATAGTGAACTCCCGGATATAGTGAACGAAATGTTCTGTCCCGGGCCCTGATATACACGTATAATGTTATTTTTTGTGGATATAGTGAACCAAAAAAAAAATGAGGAAGTTTGATATAATGAACTTTTTTCTGTCTTCGACTGATTTTCTCTTCATTTTTTTGTAATAATTTTGAAATTTCTACTTCAAAATAAATACATACACCGATTTTCAAAATCATCTATAGAGGGGAATGTGGAGATAAGCATTTTTTCTTGTTTGCTTCTTTTATCTCACTCTCCCATCCCTAAACAAACCAAGCAGATGTTTCCCACCCAGGCAGATGATGATGCACCTGTAAGATGTCAGTGGGATCAATATGCATTTTTTGTCAAAGGTTGGACTCTAATATGTGTTGATAAGGCCCTCATTTCAACTCCTTTTTACTCTAAGTTCAGTTTAAAAAAGCCTGCAAACAAGTTTCTCAAATTTAACTATGGCGAGCAGTAAACGTAAAACGTTCTTCATTGATGATGAAATGGGCATAATCAGAAAAATTGAAGATGGAGGCAATAAAGATGATATTAGCAGAGAATATAAACTATCCAAATCTACAGTTTGTAACATATGAAAAAATAGACAGTTAATAATTTCTGCTCATGAAAAAAATTTAGATGCCTGAAAAAAGTTGAGAAAAGCAGATCACAAGGATGTTGAAGAAGCATTACTGAAGTGGTTCAGCACTAGAAGAAGCCGCATTTTCCCAGTATCTAAACAAATTTCGATGAACTTGCTAAGCGATTTCATGATACTACTTTTATGTCCTAAAATATGTCAGGTTAGACAGGTTTAAAAAGCGGAAAAACAGAAATTCAGGAAAAATTATCTGAGAGTCGGGAAGTGTTTCCATATCTGATGTTGAGGATTGCTCATTAGCTAGAGTTTACTAATTTTTTTTGGTACACAAGAAGAAGAGTAAATAAAAAATAAATCATTTTTTGCTACTACATAATATTTTTTGGTTATTTATTTGAATAATGTGTAATAAAAGGGAGGATTTAAGGAACCATTAGTTAAATTGCCTGCGTAACGGATATAGTGAACTTCCGGTTATAGTGAGCCGAAATGTCGGTCCCTTGAAGGTTCACTATAGCGGGGTTTGACTGTATAACAGTTAACAAAAATTCACTAAGAAGAAAAAATAAAAATGTGATTGTAGCTCATATAGAATGAAATAATTATTAAAAAATAAATTTGGTTAAAATATGAAGTTAAATTATATTACATTGTTGACATCTATGATATAAGCACCATAGTAACATTAATTGGAAAATTTAAGCAACAGAACCCATACTAGGAAGAAAAGTTAATATAAACTATTTATTGTAAAATCACTAACAAAAAAAGCATTCAAAAAGGTAATATTTGTAGAACTTAATTTACAAACGTAAATTAGAAATAAACCCTTGTATTGGTTTTTCTCCTCTCAAAGGATGATTGTTTATAAGCCCGAATCTACATCCATGGATAGAAAGCCGTTTATGGAATTTATTTATATATAGAGAATTTATATATATATACACCGAAGAGTCATTATATTATGACCACCCTCCATCTATAACAATGGGCTCTCCCAGGTTTTCATGGTTTCTCGCCCAGGAACAAGGGGTTTCATGGGGCACATTAGGACCCATAATCCTCATAGAACAATCCCTGACAACTGTAAACTGCTTGAACATAGTTGCAGACCAGGTTCACCCATTCATGGCAACAGTTTTTCCTGCGGGGGATGGTGTTTACCAGCAGGATTATGCACCATATCATAAGGGTCGAATCGTCATGGATTGGTTCGAGGAACATTCCAGTAACTTTCAAGTCATGTCTTGATCCCCAAATTCACCTGACCTTAATCCAATAGAGCATTTGTGGTCCTACTTGGAAAACGTAATTCGCGCTGCCACGCTGCCCCCTCGCAATATTAGGGAATTGCAGGACCAGCTGGTGATCGCTTGGTACCAGATACCTCAGACTACCTATCAGCACCTTGTGGAATCAATGCCACGGCGGGTGCTAGCAGTTTTGAGGGCTAAAGGTGGTCCTACATATTATTAGCAGGGTGGTCATAATGTAATGGCTCTTCGGAGTATATATATATATATATATATATAATAAATAAATAAATACAAGAAAACAAGAAGAAAGTTAAGAAAAACAATAAGTTTCATTTATTGCGCATAAGCTGCAAGCAAACAGAACTCATTAGATAAGTTCAAAATGAAGATAAGACAAATACTTATACTGGATAATTTAAAAAAGTTGACCGCAAATAGTTTTTGAAAAAAAGATGTTTATTTAAGAAAAAATATGAAATAGAAAAGAGAACATAAATTGCCTGTTTTGCATATAATTTTAGCCATGGATTTGCACACGGAAAAATTATATAAATTATGAAAGAAAAAAAATTTAATGAATAATTTTAACACGGATTTGCCCGAAATGGATTTGCACATAGAAAAATTAACAAAGAGAAAAATTTTAGTAGATAATTTTAGCCACGGATTTGNCCTGTTTTGCATATAATTTTAGCCACGGATTTGCACACGGAAAAATTATATAAATTATAAAAGAAAAAAAATTTAATGAATAATTTTAACACGGATTTGCCCGAAATGGATTTGCACATAGAAAAATTAACAAAGAGAAAAATTTTAGTAGATAATTTTAGCTACGGATTTGCCCGAAATGGATTTGCACATGGAAAAATTGTATAAATTAATAAAGAAAATGTTCAGTAAATATATCCACAAAATTATACGATTAATTCAATGATTTTATTTAAAATTTTACTACTTTAGTTGGGTATCCATTGTTTTTTATCAAATTTTGAATGAGTTTATCGATTTGTTTTTTGGTTAAATAAATATTACTACATATTATTTTAATTCTGTTCATTTCATTAAAAGTGGTATTTAAATAGATGCTCCTAGGTTAAATCTTTTAATGGAAATAAAGCTTTAAAATTTTCAAAAATGTAGTGAAATTTGATCTCATCGAAAATAGGATTTCGAAAGTTAATAACGAAATATAAATTATCTAAACTTTTCCTTTTATTCGGCGAAATTTTGCTCATTTTGGCTTTTATAAGATCGAAACAAAGAATTTTGAAATGTAAATTAATGAATCTTTTTTGCGGATATAATCGTGTGGGCTGATGAAAAGATTATATCTTTTTTTTCCGGTTTTTTTAAATAAAATTTCATTTTTTTTTTTNGTAAAATCTTGAAAATTAAAGATAATTAAGTCATAAATATATCTATAAACAAATTTAATACTAAGAGCATAATTTTTTTCATAATAATACAAAAATAAGTTAGCTAAGAGAGATGAATAATTAGATCCTTGTGGTATTCCTTTAATTTGAGGAAAAATATTCTTTCCATTGTAAAGATAATTATTAAAGAGACAAAAATTAATCAGAATTTCCCAATAATCAAAATCGCAACAAAGGATATTTTTAAAATCATAGTAATAATTCAAAAGGACATCTTTTAGTTTAGAAAGGGGAATGCTATTGAAAAGATCCTGGAAATCAAAAGTCGCAATAGAATTAATTTTATTATGTTTAATGAAATCTAAAATCGGCTGATTATTAGTGATAATCCAAGAGAAACCTTCTTTAGTGATATTGTTAATAATTTTATTTAAGTAGTTAGAGAAAATGGTGCCAGGTTTAATTAAATAAGTATTCGATCCACATGTGATAGTTCTAAATTTTACAGGAATTTTATGTAATTTAGGACTGATAATTAGGTAAGGAAATTGTATATTG